AGAGACATTTGAAAGAATGAATCATTATGTGGGGTGTATTCCTTTGTGTCTTCGGTAAAAATCCTTTCTTGTGGTATTTTGTGTCAAAATGCCCCAATTTATTTTAAACTATGCCATAAATCCATAGTTTTTGTCAACTTCCATATTATATTCTTCATATGATATTATATATTAATATTTCTACTAAATTTTCTATTAGTAAACTGATAAGAGCAAAAGTAATATTCATGTATAGACAACACTGTAATACCAATTATTTGGTAAATAATTACAAGAAAAAAAATGAAAGGTTTGTATAATATGTTTACTGGCTGTAAATGCATAGTGTTTTTTGTTAACAAATGGCATTGTGTAATCATAACAAGTATGGTATAATACTTATCAGAACAATCTACAGCTTTGTCAACTGGGATATTATGCAGAAGCTCCTCATACAGGAATCACATTCACATGTCTTTCTTTCGGTTTTAACTTTTTAACTTTCGTCTGTATGGCGGGATGGTCCATGACTTTTGACAGAAGCTGCTGAACTGAAATTTGGTCATCCTTGAACTCTGCCCACAGGGTAAAGATCTCCTTCTGGGCTGTGGTTGATCGGTCCCTGATTCTTGCTCTCACTTTGCTCTCCTTCAGCAGGAGGATCTCGATTGGGAGCAGGGACGCCTCCCGATGTAGGGCTTTGATAAGTCGGTATAGTCCCAGCTGTTGCTCTCCGACTTTCGTATTCTGGCACCGGTGCCAACCTGAAAACAAAAAGGGAAATTTTAAAAGAAATGTTGTTATGCTCAACATGATTAACTTATATTAAATTCGTCAATATTTATTGAATATTTATAAATTAAACATAACTTAAATAGCTGAATAGGCCATCAGTTTCCGAATAAATCGAAAAACTGGGCTCTTTTCTCTGTATGCCACCTGTATATATTAATAAAGATTACAAATCCTCATTATCAAATATGCAACATTGTATTGATGTGATAAGTAAATAACAGTCCTATTTCTTGGGCCATCCTCCACACTGCCTGGGTGTAGTGGAACAGACACCCACGGAGTCTCGCATCTGGCATCACCGTTTTCAGGGCTCCCCATGTAGCAGACTCAAAATCCATGACAATAGTCTCCAGATGGTGCTACTGGCAGTAGGTCAAGCAGTTTATTGAAAACATTCACGTAGTCATATTTTGTTCGTGAGGACATTATTACAAAAAGTAACGGCATCACCATGTACCTACAAACATGATACAATACAGGTAAATACAACTTACCATTATTGTAAGTTAGCCAGTCAGTGACTTATGAAAAGACTAGGTGTAACATCCAAGTAATAAGATCAAAGTATTATCAAATGGAACTTAGTTGATATATGAAAAAGTACACTTAGTAAATATACACAATTATAACATTTGAATGTTTTCTCGTATTCCAGAGGGACTTCGAGTATAAAAGAGTAAGTGTTCGAGATTCAGATATAAAACTATTTTTTCCTTTATTGTGGTGACTTGCCCTTTTATCATTGACAAACGTAAAAGTCATTTGGATGATCTGAATTATATTGTATTTAATACATTTATTATTCCCTTGTTCTGTTCAGTGTGTTGGAATAGTTGGTTTCAGTAAATGCATGGTTCTATTATTCTCATTCCTATAATTTAAAGATATACGTCTTGGGGTCCTTGATGTGATGCCCCAGAACCCATGTATGCCTCCGGGACACCAGCCACTGGATCGAGGGAAACCATAATATAATCAATGTCGAACCACCATGACACCGATGGACCCCTAACAAAATCTGGAGGTTTGGGACGAGAATTGAACACCTACATTCCAACACTTTCAAGATGATCTAATTCCTGGATGAGGAAGGGAAGACAGACAAGTTGAAGATTATTTATTTCAATGCTGGCAAGCGACTTCCATCAAATATGAAGTACCAGGAAATGATACTTCATATTTGGTTTGCGTCACAGGATTTACAGGATGATGGAAAATATAATGTAACATTACTGTGCCAAGTACCTTTTTGTTAGCAATCCTTAATTTTATTGTATCCTACGTTAGGTATAAATCAAAATAATAAAGTTATTCATTTTTCAGTAACATCACGCTTCAAGGTCAGCCTTGAGGTAGTTATCACCTGACAATAAAAGTCCACTATTTTGTTTTGATATCCCCCTGAAGGTCGCCACGTCGTAGGAACGTATCACGTCTGGTTAACGTCATACTTTCTCGAACACTAAGTCGACACTCATAATGGACACACCTTCCAACTCACACATTTGGCTTGAGACTCACGCTTATATAACTCAAATCATTATCTGTTTTGGGTCCTGTTCTGTTTACGCTCTATACTTCTGATTTAGGAAAGTCTATCACTCCTACCGACGTCAATCACCACTGCTATATGCAGATGACTCTCCTAGTCTTCCTACCTCGGGACACTAGTGAAGCCATCTCGGATCTACAACAATGTACAGATAACATCAAATTTGGGATGAAGTAACATAAGTTACAGGTGAATGGCAGCAAGACTAAAGCTCTTCTCAGTGGAACACAGTCTAAACGTTTGACTGATGGAGTGACGACAGTGCGTATTGGCCAGTCTGAAATGCCAATGTCCAAAATGTGAGAAATCTGGGCATCATTCTGGAAAGCACTCTCTCTATTGATTGCCATGTTTCTAACTAGTGCAGAAGATGCTACTTCCACAACATAGGATCAGTAAGACATCTTCTCACCACATCTGCTGCTCATATGCTTGCGCGGACACTTGTGTTATCCATAGATTATTTTAACAGTTAACACGGAAATATCTCCCAGGACCAGTTTGCCAGACTTCAGCGTGTGAAAATACTGCTGCACGTATAGTCACCAGGACCAAGCAGTCTTCAAATATGACACGAGTCCATATATCACTGCATTGGCTTCCTGTACAAGCAAGAGTTCAAAAATGCTATCATCAGCCAGCTCCTCCATATTTGAATGATCTCATTCATAAATATGTACCACTGAGATCACTTCGATCTTCCGACCATCATCTACTTGAAGTACCAAAGTACAATCTGAAAAAGTTTGGATATAGATCCTTTATTTATTTGGCTGCCACTTTATGGAAATCGTTATCTCTTCCAATCAAGGAGGCAGAACCCCATGACATTTTTAAGAGTGACTTCCAAACCTATCTCTTTAGGACTTTATATAATTAACTTGTGAGCACCCATGAAAATAGGCCGCCTGTGACATTTTGCAGTGACATTTTGTTTGTACCATGAGCAAGCATTCTGTGCCTGGAGTTTGGCGTAGTAAAAGTGCACATATATTATCAAGCTCTCACGACAAACTGAAAAATATGTTATTTGTAGTTTAGCAACGCACATGTAGACCTCTTAAAACAGAGAACACGTGTAAGAGTATATGGTTCCTGCTTAAAATGCACACGTACGTCTGAATACATTGTTTTCAGTGACTTTTCTGAGTAGGGAATTTGCACTATGCGTTGCCTCCACAGGGAGTAAGTCCCCCTGAAACATCCTCCAGGTTCCATCACGGATGAGGCGCTTGGACGCCGGCATGTCAAGCTTTTTTCTCTCTTGGGTTTGGAAGCTCTTAATATAACCCCATAGTATGATTAAACCACAGGCCCTCGTGTCTTTCCGAGGATTAAAGATTATTAAACAATATGTAAAATTTTTAGATGACCCCCGACTCGAAATGCTTCACAGTGCACCCTCAACCGCCTGCTTTGCCGATCGACACGCTACCATCGCATGCAATCAAAACATAATGTAAACATTATCATGGATGATTGGCTTATCGAGCACCACTCGTGACACCTACCAATTCTTTATTGTTATTTCTGCAAGTCGATTGAAACCCGATTTTGACTCAACTAGTTTGTAAACGATTTTGACACAAATGGATGATGATATATCCGCACAAAACGGGGGTGTGGTCGAAGCAAGTCCTCTGGTTGAATCATACTGTCTGCTCATGCTTCACGTTTTGTTTGTGCACAAGCTGCGTTTTTGACAACACAGAATATTCCTAGCGGTGTGAGTTAGTGAGTGAGTGAGTTTAGTTTTACGCCACACTCAGCAATATTACAGCTTTATGGTGTCGGTCTGTAAATAATCGAGTCTGGACCAGACAATCCAGTGATCAACAGCATCGACCTATGCAATTGGGTTGCGATGTCGATGTCGTGTCAACCAAGTCAGCAAGCCTGACCACCCGATCCCGTTAATCGCCTCTTACGACAAGCATGGGTTAATCGCCTCTTACGACAAGCATGGGTTGCTGAAGATCAATTCTAACCCGGATCTTCAGGGGTCGTGTGAGTTAGTGATAATTGTTCAACGCTGCTTTCAGCAATATTCCAGCAATATCACGAGGTGGACAACAGAAATTAGCTTCACACATTGTACCCATGTGGGGAATCGAGCCCAGGTCTTCACGTGACGAACGCTTTAGTCACTAGGCTACACCACCTACCTATTCCTACTTGAGTGCAATTTTAAACGCAAGCCCTCTAATTTCATGGTGGATCATACATGAAAGATTATAAGGCAACACCCATTTACAGTGACTGTCATACTGTGAAGAATTAATAATGATCCATTAGCTAGAGTTATCAATCATTGAAGCATTCAAGACAACCCCACTAACTGAAAATATTAAACAATGAATAGTTAAGAATTTCCCCTATTAACTGAGGATATCGAACACTGATGACCTAAAATGACCCCCATCTGTGTTGAGTAAAGGTCATTCAGGATTAGATAGCTTGTGGTGAAGAAACCGTATGGCCTTCATCAGGGAAAGTCAACTCATATGTGTTTACTTCATGGTTCAATCCAAGAATGGAAAGGCCATGTATTTTGGAGTCCTTTTTTTCTAATGGAAGTACTTTTACTGTTGTCAAAATGTGCGCACATGATCAAAATGTGAGGCCATTTATGAGTAAAATTTCCTTGGGATAAGAAAAAACATGGACACAGACAGAGATTTGTATACTTTAACTGTTCATCACATACAGTTTATCATAAGGCAAAAGAAATATACAGTTTAATAAATACAATATATATATAAATATATACAAACATCACACTGCACGTAATCTGTCTTAACAATCACTGCTTTCATGCTGACAAAGTCTCTGGGTCATGAATTAACAGCACCAAGTTTATTCTCACCAACTGCATGCTGTATCTAGAATTGGTCTTCAGCAACCTATTCTGTGTTACATGGACTGCAAGTTGAACCCTTGTAGGTGAAGTGGCCATAAATTTCCGAGTTCCTTGCTTGGATTCAAACCACAGACCTTCTGATCCGAAGTCAGATGCCTTGTCCACACGACCAAAGAGTTAACCCCAAGCTAACAAGGTAAGGATGCCATCTTGTGGGATGACTCCCTGCTACATAGGCATCAAACCAGGACTCTTTTCCAAGAAGTCAGCACAGTTCTGCAGCTGTCAAGCATGGAATTAGTCTCAACACTAACTCGATCTCTGGAACATCCTCTCTGCAGGATCAGACCAAGTACTTTCTTCTGATGATCATTCACAACAAAAACCCTCCGCAATGAAGACCCTGTCACTCATGACGACAACTGCTTTCAATGTCTCCTGGTACATGTCCTGGTACATGTATATTGGAAAAGGGGCACTCTTCAGATCAATCAATGTCATGCCTTGATGACTGAAATAGATCTTCATAATTTCGTTACAAGTATCCCCCTTTTCAACTGTGATTCAGATGGTCCCATATGCTGGTAAACTGCTCCGTGATAATTCCTGTTATTCACAGATGTACACCTATATTCCCCTGATGGCTAGTCTGTGACAGTTCCCTCTATACACAGGCATACGCCCAGAATCCCCTGATGGCCAGTCTGTGACAGTTCCTGCTATACACAGGCATACGCCCAGAATCCCCTGATGGTCAGTCTGTCACAGTTCCCGGTATTCACAGACGTACACCTATAATCCCCTGGTGGCCAGTCTGTGACAGTTTCTGGTATTCAGAGACATACGCCTATAATCCCCTGGTGGCCAGTCTGTGACAGTTCCTGGTATTCACAGACGTACACCTATAATCCCCTCATGGCCATCCCTCATAAACACATGCCAGCCCCTCCTGCCACAATCCGTGTCTGTCACCTCCTCCCGACCCTTCAGGTACTCCACAGAGAAACATCTTGGTCCGGGTCCAAGGAAGGGCAGCACCCCTAGGATCTTCCCATGACAATCATAGTGGAAGACATGCTCTCTGTAGAAACTTTGGTCTTCCTGCATAGTGACTGACACGAGAAAATCACCTGGAAACAAAAGTTGACAAGTCTATGTTTGTATATTTGTACAATGCTGTAGTTTGCGATTGAGAATTTTGAAATAAATGGCCTTGACCTCTCCCGTTGTAAATGTGTTTTCACAGGGAGTCAAAAGTCACTGCAGTGAGTGACAATATGATTTACACTATAAATATATTAAGTGAGGTGAAATGGGGTTTAACGTTGCACAAATATTTTGGTCATATGACAAGGTGCAATGTTGGTGTATGTGCGGCTGCTTGTACTAGCCCAGACTGGTTTTGTAGTGCTAGCTCACTGAGATACCATGCCGCAGTTAAGCATGAATACCCAACTCAGACACATTATACTGACTCTGAGCCGACCAGTCCTTGTAATGCTGAGCGCCAGGCAGGGACCAACAAGTACCATATTTTAATATCTTTTGGAATGACGCGACCGGGAATTGAACCCGCGACCTTCCGCTCTCTGGGCGGACGCAAATATTTTAAGAATTATATTATATGTATTGAGTAATACTCAAATGTATTTCAATAGCAAATATATATTAAGCAAAAAATTCTGATTATATGATGTTTTTTATACTGAAGCACAAGAGGTTAATTATCTTCATTTGTTGAACACTTTCATTCAAATATTGCTGGATCCTGTCCTGAAATAGCAGTATTTACCATGTCCACTTATGGAATAACATTCCACAGCAATTCCAGGAACCAAAATGTCCATGACAATCTCTACAGCATCGTCTGTGACATCCACAAACATCAGAGTTGTACCGATGCTTAATGCAAGTCTCGTCTTCTCCTCCAGTTTTTTCTGCTCCAGGACCCTGGCTGAACATCCTTGTGGGAAGCTGATGTAGAGGCCATCCTCACTCACCTTCAGACTGCAGCTGTAAACAGAAAAAAACAAATATAGACGACATGATGAGTACAAAATATATATGCTTGAGTTACCATGGTTACAGACTAAAAAGCTAACTAACAGAAATTTTGAAAATACAGTGCAAAATTTTTTGTACGTAATTTGTTAAAATAAGTTACGCCCCATTTTCCCTTGTTAACCATGGTGCCATTGTACAAAACGACCTTAGTGCTAAGAACGTCATAAGTCTAGGTTAAGGTATAGCATATACTTTTACCTTAGGATTAAGAGCACTTTATACAAAGGCTCGCATAGATTAACAAGTTACCATGGTTACTCAAGAGCAGCCCCTACCTGGCTTGTTGCTGGGTAACATTTAGGGTTTGAAGAGTTTCAGGATGCAGGAAGTAGATTGCACTGTCTGTTACAGCCATGACTTTGTTTCCTCCAAAAAGAAGAGTTTTTATTTCAGGTAACTCTTCACTCAAAACCTCATCATCTGCAGAGATAGGATCACATCGGACTCTGGAACAAGGATTATAATAAAAGAAAGAAGGGACACACATTGTCTGTCATCTGGTTGTATGAGGTAGGGGGATGATGATGATTTTAAGGGGGGTCATCCATTTTCTTCTGGGGAGCTGTGTGTGGGGGAGGGTGTTAATCAATTTTGTACACAAGTACTAGGGTGTGTGTCTTTGATTTTGTACATGACATGCAGGGGGGTGGGGATCACTAACTTTGCACATAAATATTCCAGACATGAGAAGTTTCCACAGATCCATAATTTTGTTTCAATTTGAATGTTTTTGAGATTGATGTAAATCTGCAATAAAAGACTCCCGGCTACATTTTCAGTGTTGTTTTTTGTGATTTGCCGTTCTCATGTCTGATTAGAGGCGTGCGTGAGATTCACAGTGTATATCATAACCCCCCAGCATATCCCTGACACCACAAAACCTTCAGAAGAAGATTTGTGAATGCATAACACTGCCCAGTTACATTCAAAAGAGTATGGTTCTGGATCAGCCTGTCTGTGACCTGTTCCAGAGATTTTACAGGGGTTCTGGATCAGCCTGTCTGTGACCTGTTGCAGAGATTGTACAGGGGTTCTGGATCAGCCTGTCTGTGACCTGTTCCAGAGATTTTACAGGGGTGCTGGATCAGCCTGTCTGTGACCTGTTCCAGAGATTTTACAGGGGTTCTGGATCAGCCTGTCTGTGACCTGTTTCAGAGATTTTACAGGGGTTCTGGATCAGCCTGTCTGTGACCTGTTCCAGAGATTGTACAGGGGTTCTGGATCAGCCTGTCTGTGACCTGTTCCAGAGATTTTACAGGGGTTCTGGATCAGCCTGTCTGTGACCTGTTCCAGAGATTTTACAGGGGTTCTGGATCACCCTGTCTGTGACCTGTTCCAGAGATTTTACAGGGGTTCTGGATCACCCTGTCTGTGACCTGTTTCAGAGATTTTACAGGGGTTCTGGATCACCCTGTCTGTGACCTGTTTCAGAGATTTTACAGGGGTTCTGGATCAGCCTGTCTGTGACCTGTTTCAGAGATTTTACAGGGGTTCTGGATCAGCCTGTCTGTAACCTGTTCCAGAGATTTTACAGGGGTTCTGTATCAGCCTGTCTGTGACCTGTTGCAGAGATTGTACAGGGGTTCTGTATCAGCCTGTCTGTGACCTGTTGCAGAGATTGTACAGGGGTTCTGGATCAGCCTGTCTGTGACCTGTTCCAGAGATTTTACAGGGAGTCTGGATCACCCTGTCTGTGACCTGTTCCAGAGATTTTACAGGGGTTCTGGATCAGCCTGTCTGTGACCTGTTCCAGAGATTTTACAGGGAGTCTGGATCACCCTGTCTGTGACCTGTTTCAGAGATTTTACAGGGGTTCTGGATCACCCTGTCTGTGACCTGTTCCAGAGATTTTACAGGGAGTCTGGATCAGCCTGTCTGTGACCTGTTCCAGAGATTTTACAGGGAGTCTGGATCACCCTGTCTGTGACCTGTTCCAGAGATTTTACAGGGGTTCTGGAACAGCCTGTCCGTGACCTGTTCCAGAGATTTTGCCAGGGATGTGGATCAGCCTGTCCGTAACCTATTACAAAGATTTTACAGGGGTTCTGGATCAGCCTGTCTGTGACCTGTTCCAGAGATTGTACAGGGGTTCTGGATCAGCCTGTCTGTGACCTGTTCCAGAGATTTTACAGGGGTTCTGGATCAGCCTGTCTGTGACCTGTTCCAGAGATTTTACAGGGGTTCTGGATCAGCCTGTCTGTAACCTGTTTCAGAGATTTTACAGGGGTTCTGTATCAGCCTGTCTGTGACCTGTTGCAGAGATTGTACAGGGGTTCTGGATCAGCCTGTCTGTGACCTGTTCCAGAGATTGTACAGGGAGTCTGGATCACCCTGTCTGTGACCTGTTCCAGAGATTTTACAGGGGTTCTGGATCAGCCTGTCTGTGAACTGTTCCAGAGATTTTACAGGGGTTCTGGATCAGCCTGTCCGTGACCTGTTCCAGAGATTTTGCCAGGGATGTGGATCAGCCTGTCCGTAACCTATTACAAAGATTTTACAGGGGTTCTGGATCAGCCTGTCTGTGACCTGTTGCAGAGATTGTGCCAGGGTTCTAGATCAGAATGTACAGGACTAGGTCCAGAGATTGTACAGGGGTTCTGGATCAGCCTGTCTGGAACTAGGTCCAGTGATTTGACAGGGGTTCTGGCTCAGCCCATAAAGGCCCAGATTCAGAGATTTGTCAGGAGTTCTGGATGAGCTCAAATGGAATCTTTGCTACAGTAGAGTAGAGTGGGATTCAGCAGTCCCATAAGGAGATCTAGGAATGGTAACAACATTGTTCTGTTTTCCACAGCTGGGACAACAAATACACAAAGCACGGTGTACTGTACCTGAGTCTGTCATCTCTGAGGCCATAGAGCTTCTTCCCAAGAACATATGGCTCCACCATTTGATTGTCTGAGAATGTCTTCAGTAACTCTCCTTTCTTGCCAAAAACAAATTGCCATCTGAAACAGGCACCACATGGCCATGTAATAAAGTGTTCAGTAGCACTACTGGTCTTCAGAATACTGGCTTTGCTTTTTTCTGAATGATAACAATATCTCATGCTGGTGAGAAGATGACTGACTTGTGGACAATTGTTTCTGTAATTGGACATTACATACATAGGCAACTAGTACTAGAGATCAGTTCTCAGTCAAGAGCTGGCTGACATATTGTGTCATCATACCCCAATAACTGACTTTCCATCAAGTAAGTTTGCTGTTTTTGTACTCAGTTGTATTACAGCGATATGATGAGGGGTTCTAGCATTGACCAGCAAAACAGAACAACATGCCCTGATACTGCTAAATGCTTAAATAGAATGCAATCAATCAAGCCACTTCCTGAAGATTGCACAGGTTGCTTGGAACCTATACTATCAAATACACCTGTGACCATTATAGGTTGTTGGGAACCTACCCTAATCCAGAATCCCCGTCTTTGACCAGTATAGGTTGCTGGGAACCTACCCTAACCCAGAATCCCCGTCTTTGGCCAGTACAGGTTGCTGGGAACCTACCCTAACCCAGAATCCCCATCTTTGAACAGTATAGGTTGTTGGTAACCTACCCTAACCAAGAATCCCCGTCTTTGACCAGTACAGGTTGCTGGGAACCTACCCTAACCCAGAATCCCCGTCTTTGACCAGTATAAGTTGTTGGTAACCTACCCTGACCCAGAGTCCCCGTCTTTGACCAGAATAAGTTGCTGGGAACCTACCCTAACCCAGAATCCCCGTCTTTGACCAGTACAGGTTGTTGGGAACCTACCCTAATCCAGAATCCCCGTCTTTGACCAGTACAGGTTGTTGGGAACCTACCCTAATCCAGAATCCCCGTCTTTGACCAGTATAGGTTGCTGGGAACCTACCCTAACCCAGAATCCCCGTCTTTGGCCAGTACAGGTTCCTGGGAACCTACCCTAACCCAGAATCCCCGTCTTTGACCAGTACAGGTTCCTGGGAACCTACCCTAACCCAGAATCCCCATCTTTGACCAGTACAGGTTGCTGGGAACCTACCCTGACCAAGATTCCTCGTCTTTGACCTTTATAGGTTGTTGGGAACATATCATAAACACAGAGGTAATGCAGAAGTTGAACACATACTTTTGACGTTCATTGTTCAACCCATAGCGCCACATGATGTCTTCTTGAGGACAGTTCTGGGTCCTGCCGGTCCTCGCCTGGTGCAGACTGGGGTCCTCTGTGTCAATATATGCGTCATACACGTAGTCCATTCTCGCTACTGGTTCCAGGAAGCTGGCCTTGTTGGTACAGTCTACAAACTGTCACACACATACCATTAGCCAGTGTATAATATCTCCATTCCATCATGATATATACCTTGGATTGATTTGCATAAAGAGCTTCCTTTCAGAACTGATGCGACCAGTTTTGCCATTCTTGTTGCCAACTTTAAACAAAATTTCTATCACTCATGAAAATCAAACCATCAATAAAACAAAATGACTCCTGTTGGCATATATCTAATTTAAATTTCATGGTTTCATACAATTGAGTCCAATATATTCAACTGAATCAGTAGATGTTAGTATTAGCTGGTTAGGTTTGTCAGTGTATCTGATCTGGGAGCCATTATTCTGCATGTTCACTGCTGTATTTGACATGTCACAATAAAGTTTGGTCAAGTACTGGTGATGTCACCACTTGTTTCTATTTTATGAAGTCATTTTTTCAAACTGGACTCAAAACAAAGCTTTCATCTCAAGCAGGTATAAGATATTTGTAATTATTAAACTGGAAATAGTCAAGGATGCAAAAAATATTTAACATTTGGACATTTATATTTTCAGAATTCAGGAATACAGGGGAATTGTCACAAATTTCATTTTAAGGTTCATTCTGATTCAGATTCATATCTAGGGTCTGCATGGTTGTACGTGGTTGTACAGACAGGTTACTATATTCATTACTGCTTACTTCTTTTATTTTGTTTCGATACAAGATTCTTGTACCATTGTCAAGCAGGAATGCCACTCAAAGAATGGTCAGTATATAGTTTGCTATGTACTAATGTCTCAGAGCTTGTAGATATACATACCACTTGAACCCTCCTGATTGTGTGACCATCATACACTGACAGGTAGAGAGTGTCCTTGTAGGCGAAACACTCCTCCACCCAGACGCTAAAATCTGGGGGCGTGTAGCTGTAGTTGTTCTTTTTCTTTTTAGTCTCTACTTGTTTCTTTGTTCTGGCAACTTTTGATTTTTTGCTTGATATTTCACTAAATTTGACAACGTCCTCCCATTTTTGGTCCTTTACTGTCTCCACTACCTAAATAAGGTGAAGAATGCAATATGTTATGTCAAGTACACAAGCTACATATCAATAACTGTATACTTCAGACATACTGTTTTTGTTCTTAAAGAGTTTCTTGGTCATATTAATTACTATTCTAAGATGCAAGAGACAAAACCTTTACTAAAGAGACACATCTGAATGTTTCTGTATTTAACTGATTTCATAATGGTAAAAATAGAAATGGTTGCTGATCAATAAGTGAAAATTACATGTTTTAAAGGCAGAATAACTGGGGTCAGTACACAAGGTTTCAGCTTCACATCTCTGATTCAAGTTCAACTGCAGTTAAACTACATGAACAAATCAACAAAGAAGGAACAATTAGAAGAACAAGAAACATGAATCACACTTCTTGGCCACAAATGCACCTTACTGGTTGGAACACCCATGATAAGCTTTAGTATCACTGTTCAATGGTTCTGAGGAGAAGCTGTCTACTGATGTTCAACCTGACAACAGATACTGCTCTGACTGGCCATGACACAGGCACAATTTCAGTCAGAGGCGACAAGTTCACAAGTTCAATTTTGGATAAAAATACAGAGAGTCTTATTTGGGGTACATATATGCATTTCTGCTGCTGAAAACATCTTGTAATTAGGGTAAGGTTCCTACCTACATGTGCTAATGAGCATTCAATATTCCATACCCACACCCTCAACCCCCTTTTGAGAAGGAGAACGAAAGGGAGGTACTTAACACCCAAACTAAACCCAACCCTGAAGGGTGGTAAGGAAGAAGATGTTGTGACCATGAACCATGGAAATGACAGAAGTCAAGAACAGAATCAAGACCAACGACCAAACTTTTTGGTAAGGGTGGCAGGACTCTGCCCACTGGGGAGAACTGACTGACCAAACAGAACACAATCCCAAGAATATGTGTGTCGAGTTGTTAGTTATGAATGAAGGAGCTCGGTGGGGTAGAAACAGCAGATTTCTTCAATGATCTGGGCTACTGCAAATGCCTGACCGAATGAGCCTTCAAGCCCTCAAGGGGAGACTTACCCTTAACACTGTGAGCCATACACAGAGTAGATACCAGCCAGCGACAATTAGTCTGTTTGCTGGCTGGCTCCCCAGTCTACCCTCCACCATAACAGCAGAACAATTGGGAACCCTTGTGGATCCCTTTTGTTCATTTGATATAGAATTTGAATCCCTTGCAGACATCAATGGGTGAGTACTTGAAGGAGAGGTCCCAAATGTGGAAGGCTGTGAAAGAGCAGGAAGCTAGGACCTGTCACCCGGAAAGCGTGATTGATCTTTGGTAAGTATTATGGAGGTAAATTTTGACCCAGTCTTTGTGAAACACCATCAGTGACACTGCCTTCTGCAAGAGGTAACATTAAAAAGTAGAGAGAGTTCGTCAGAGAGACGAAGGACTTGAAAACATATGAGAAGACAGCCAATCAAGAACAATCAGCAATTCCAAAGTTGGGCTGGTTCACCTAAGAATCTCTGCTCAAGCTGGAGTCATACAGTAGAACTGAACATCAGCAACAGCGGAGAGGAAGAACCAGCACAGGGAACATGAATACATGAAAGAGGTAACCACATCCACAGCTTCCCAGAGGACCTGCTGCAAGCTAGAAAACCTGGAGCCAACCACTCTTGGTCTATGAGTACCTTCTTGAGATCCTATGAGAGAGCCTACAGGCTTACCAAATCTTGCCGTATAGGGTGCATCCTCTAAGCCTGCCATACCAAATCTACAGATGCTGCGGTGTGACCCAGCAGACGGTGCCAGGTCTGAGCCGAGGCCTCAGGGCAGGAGAAGCAATATAACACTAACTCTTGTACCCTGGTGATACGATTGAGTGAGAGAGAGACATGACACCTACAAGAACTGATCCTGAGTAAGCATTAGGTTTGTGTTTCATGATATACCTCAAGCACCGAGTGTGTAGAGCCTATCTAGACTCGCTGGTTGAGTTAGTGCTCAACATTTTCAACCACTCATCCTGTGTTGGCGCTACCATGAATTAGGTAAACACCCCTGGATCAGTGGACTAGCTGAAGGGGATTACCTGAAATTGGTAGCAAATCATGTCAAAAGAGAACCAAAGGTATCTCTTGAATCAGGGGTGTGACAGTATGCATCCTTGTGTCGACTGGCATGAGCCAAATCGCTGGACTGAACACTTTGAGGTTGAGTATGGGCCTATAGCCTCTGGGCTTTTTGGTAAAGTGGAAGTATGTGGAATAATGAACCATGAATAACGGAACTCAATCTATAGCAGACTTGTCCAGTTGAGCCTGGATTTCATCTTGTAGAACCTTTGTCTTCTCCAGGCAGGACGGCACTGGAGTGCACCTTATCCGAAGAACTCGGGAAGAGAACACTGTGGAAGATGACCTTCCCTGAGTTTGGACAACACCCAAAGATTGGCACAATTCTTCCTCTTGTCTTAATTAGCAGCTGCTGGCAATATCCAGTAGAGCTGGAAGTCAGTGCCATCACTGAGGAAGAACCAGCACAGGAAGCATGGGTGCAAGAGAGCCACAGCTGCTCCAACCAGGCCTTGAATACATAAAGGAGGTAGCCACATCCACAGCTTCCCAGATGACCTGCTACAACCTGGAAAAGAGGGTAGAACCCAGCCAATACAGGAAGGTCACCTGGGTTTGCTGTGTAGAAGCCGAGGTCGCCAGCCACAGCCAGTGTATGCCCATAACTGTGCACATCACCTGTGGTGCAGCAGACTGAATAGATCAGTAATGCAGCATGTGGTAGAATGTCAGCCATATGCTGAGTAGAAGTGAAATGGCCCCTCAGAGCCCTCAACCTCCCCTACATCAAATCATGCCCCGAGCCCCAGCTACAGACCAAGGGCCAAGCTGATGATACTAGGGGTAAGAAGGGTTCCAGTGGATGCTCCACTCGGTACCAAGCATCAGATTCCAGAGCAGGTTATGTCAAAGCAAGTGGCTTGGAGCTCGTGGGTGGCTGAGGCAGTGACATATCTGGCCCTCAAGTCAAGACAAACAGTCCTCCTTGGCTGGAGACAATGCCTCTGGACCAAGCACCTCAGGTACCAGATCGAGAGAAGCACTGAAGACCCAACCAAAGCCCAGGACTTTCTATCAATGAATCTTTACCATCCAAACTGTGAAGTTATCAATACTCATCCATAATTCCTTGTCTGAGCATTCCAGAATATTGTTGATGTTTCATCAAAACATATGGAACAGCACTAACATATGTCTCTCATTGTTTATGAGTATTACAAAGAATTGAACATTTTCAAAATTAATGTTTATGGGTACAAGTATGGTATATCTCAATACTTATGGAATTAATTTCTTTTCCTACACTGAACATCTGAACTGGTCCCATAAAACACTTGAATATTTTCCAACAGACAATATAGACTAGGGCTGCAATGATTCAACCAGACTTCAATTCGATTTTCGATATTGGACCCTCGATTCGATCATTTTTGCTTCTTCATACAAGTAAAAACATCAGATTTCATTTAACTCTCAGAGTCTGCATTTTTAGTGTGAAATCCATCGCCAACTTGGCGATGTCTACTAACAACAATTCTCATTGGATAATTAACCCTATCGCCTTATTTCAGGGCTCGAAACTGCTCAAGTTGGAGTCAAAATTACATTCTGGCTGTGTGGAAATAATTTAAATAGGTATTCAAATATTGAATAAAAATAGTGATAATGGTTATCGAAAATCGAAACTAAGGTGTCAGATTTGATTTTCGAAGAACCGAATCGAATCATTGCAGCCCTATTATAGACCTGGCTAAATGCTGAGTGTGGAACAACAATCAAGAACAATGACTTTCATCCTTACATATGTTGATAAAGTGATGTCCTTCGTGAAGCAGTAGTCCAGAGACATCCTCATCTCCTCCTTCCAGCGTTCACCACATCTATGAATAGTGGTTGCAATGCTATCTAGTACATTCTGTAAGAGACAATGACAGTATTTGTAAAACTAGTGCATATACTCACACAAATATGTTGACAGCCAGTTAAAATTGCTGTCAGCAAAAACTTTTTGAACAAATACTCACGACAAAGTATGAAACAAATAACTAAATTTCCAAAATGTTCTTTTAAGTGATAATTTACTTTACACAATGTCAGAACTTGAAGCAGATTTTACTTAAAACAGCCCTTCTTTTGCATGCCATCTGTCCAGCATATTTTGACACTACAATGGCCTTTGGTAGCTAATGATTGGTCAGGAATATAGACAGTTTCCACAGTAGCTTGCAATGAATGATCCATGGTCTGTTTCACTCCATTCCATCCCTAAGTTAGAAAATGCAAAAATCAACCTCTATTGCACTCATACTTACAACAGGGCAAACCAACTAATTCCAACAGCTTTTACAGTAACTAACAATACCAAACCGAATACCACCACTCAGTGCATCAGTCAGTAGAAAGGTTTACAACTATCCTGTATGGTTTACAACCAGAATGTCCCCACAGAGCAAACCAACTATTTCCAACATCTTTTATAGTGACTAACAATACCAAACCGAATACCACCACTCAGTGCATCAGTCAGTAGAAAGGTTTACAACTATCCTGTATGGTTTACAACCAGAATGTCCCCACAGGGCAAACCAACTATTTCCAACAGCTTTTACAGTGACTAATAATACCAAAGCATATACCACCACTCAGTGCATCAGTAAAGGTTTACAACTATCCTGTATGGTTTACAACCAGAATGTCCCCACAGAGGGCAAACCAACTATTTCCAACAGCTTTACAGTGACTAATAATACCAAAGCATCCTGTATATACCACCACTCAGTGCATCAGTAAAGGTTTACAACTATCCTGTATGGTTTACAACCAGAATGTCCCCACAGAGCAAACCAACTATTTCCAACAGCTTTTACAGTGACTAATAATACCAAAGCATATACCACCACTCAGTGCATCAGTAAAGGTTTACAACTATCCTGTATGGTTTACAACCAGAATGTCCCCACAGGGCAAACCAACTATTTCCAACAGCTTTTACAGTGACTAATAATACCAAAGCATATACCACCACTCAGTGCATCAGTAAAGGTTTACAACTATCCTGTATGGTTTACAACCAGAATGTCCCCACAGGGCAAACCAACTATTTCAAACAGCTTTTACAGTGACTAATAATACCAAAGCATATACCACCACTCAGTGCATCAGTAAAGGTTTACAACTATCCTGTATGGTTTACAACCAGAATGTCCCCACAGGGCAAACCAACTATTTCCAACAGCTTTTACAGTGACTAATAATACCAAAGCATATACCACCACTCAGTGCATCAGTAAAGGTTTACAACTATCCTGTATGGTTTACAACCAGAATGTCCCCACAGGGCAAACCAACTATTTCCAACAGCTTTTACAGTGACTAATAATACCAAAGCATATACCACCACTCAGTGCATCAGTAAAGGTTTACAACTATCCTGTATGGTTTACAACCAGAATGTCCCCACAGAGCAAACCAACTATTTCCAACAGCTTTTACAGTGACTAATAATACCAAAGCATATACCACCACTCAGTGCATCAGTAAAGGTTTACAACTATCCTGTATGGTTTACAACCAGAATGTCCCCACAGGGCAAACCAACTATTTCCAACAGCTTTTACAGTGACTAATAATACCAAAGCATATACCACCACTCAGTGCATCAGTAAAGGTTTACAACTATCCTGTATGGTTTACAACCAGAATGTCCCCACAGGGCAAACCAACTATTTCAAACAGCTTTTACAGTGACTAATAATACCAAAGCATATACCACCACTCAGTGCATCAGTAAAGGTTTACAACTATCCTGTATGGTTTACAACCAGAATGTCCCCACAGGGCAAACCAACTATTTCCAACAGCTTTTACAGTGACTAATAATAATGACTAATAATACCAAGCATATACCACCACTCAGTGCATCAGTAAAGGTTTACAACTATCCTGTATGGTTTACAACCAGAATGTCCCCACAGGGCAAACCAACTATTTCCAACAGCTTTTACAGTGACTAATAATACCAAAGCATATACCACCACTCAGTGCATCAGTAAAGGTTTACAACTATCCTGTATGGTTTACAACCAGAATGTCCCCACAAGGCAAACCAACTATTTCAAACAGCTTTTACAGTGACTAATAATACCAAAGCATATACCACCACTCAGTGCATCAGTAAAGGTTTACAACTATCCTGTATGGTTTACAACCAGAATGTCCCCACAGGGCAAACCAACTATTTCCAACAGCTTTTACAGTGACTAATAATACCAAAGCATATACCACCACTCAGTGCATCAGTAAAGGTTTACAACTATCCTGTATGGTTTACAACCAGAATGTCCCCACAGGGCAAACCAACTATTTCCAACAGCTTTACAGTGACTAATAATACCAAAGCATATACCACCACTCAGTGCATCAGTAAAGGTTTACAACTATCCTGTATGGTTTACAACCAGAATGTCCCCACAGGGCAAACCAACTATTTCCAACAGCTTTTACAGTGACTAATAATACCAAAGCATATACCACCACTCAGTGCATCAGTAAAGGTTTACAACTATCCTGTATGGTTTACAACCAGAATGTCCCCACAGGGCAAACCAACTATTTCCAACAGCTTTTACAGTGACTAATAATACCAAAGCATATACCACCACTCAGTGCATCAGTAAAGGTTTACAACTATCCTGTATGGTTTACAATCAGAATGTCCCCAAGCCTTGTTCACTGTTCTGAACTGGAAAGAGAATAACTAATAGTATCCAGCTAGCGTCAGAATGAATGATGTTATGACATCAAAACACAAACAGTTCAGGAAATGTTTCATCTCACCTTCCTGTACACACCCTTGAGAAACGGTATCAGGTTGAGCTTTGCCCTTTGACCTCCTGCAGCTTTCCAGAATAAAGTAATTTTTCTGCTCTTCTGAAGACGGACCTCATTTCGATCAATCAAGGATGAGTCTGGACTCAACAGGTGGACTACAGTCTCTGTTGTGTCATCCCAATACACCTCGGTCAATGTAGGTACTATGTGTTGTCCTGTAAGAGCCAATGAAAAACTTATCAATTAACTTATTAATTAACAAATCTAATTAACTGATTGATATCTATCCCAACTGAAATGAATTTTCTGTTTGATTGGCATTTAGAAGTTGGTGACTAAATAAGAAAGTAAGAAAGTTTATGGATAACAACTTCTTTATTATATATGATGCGACGTTTCGGTATGGATTCTTATACCGTTGTCAAGCAAGAGTGAAGTACTACAGCACAGAACAGACTTATATACATGAACAGGGATTAAGTAATAACATGTAGGAATGAATCAGGGGGATGAACAACAACAACAAGGCACGGTGGCAATAATGTAGTGACAATAGGAAGCCAATGGTGGTGGGGGTAGAAACAAAATATACATGCTGATGAGATTAATTAACAATGATAGCCCTCCTGCAACACCTCAACCAACAGCACCCCCGGGTCCAATTCACCTTAGAAACAGAATCCAGTGGTCAACTTCCCTTTCTAGATGTCCTTGTAACCAGAACCCCAGCCAACAAGATCCGAACCAGTGTCTATAGAAAGCCAACCCACTCCGACCAATACATTCATTTTGACTCCAACCACCCCTTGAGAACCAAAACTGGCATTATGTCCACCCTCACCAGACGAGCCATCAACCTTTCCGCCACCAGTCCCACTACAGAAATACAGCACCTCCGCCATGTTTTCACCAAGTTCAACCACTACCCGCCAAAACTAGTCAAAATTATCAGCACCACACTCCACCCAACAAGAAAACCGGCCCCCAACAAACCTGAACCAGCACCTATTTGTATCTCCCTCCCCTTCATAGGGAAGACCTCTCACCACATCAGCCGTCTCCTGAAGCGAGAAGCAGGCATCGAAACCTACTTTACCAGCTCTACACCACTGAAAACCCTACTGAAAGCTAATGGCAGGAACACCTCTAAACGACAACATCAACCCAAAGGTGTTGTCTATAAAATCAACTGTGACTGTGGCGAGGCCTATGTAGGCGAAACCTCCCGGCCCATAAATATCAGAATCAAACAACACTTATCATCTACCACCAAATCTGAGAGAAAATCGGCAATATCAGACCACATCATCAACTGCCCCAATCACAACATAATTTGGGACAATGTGGAGATATTATCCAAAAACCACCAGGACTTCACCAAAAGGAAATTTGCAGAAGCAGTTCAAATCCGGAGACACAAGCCCTCAATCAACAGAGACCAGGGATATCTCATCCCGTCTGCATACAATGATCTGATAAAAACAACAGATCAGAGCACTTCAGCTATCATTGTTAATTAATCTCATCAGCATGTATATTTTGTTTCTACCCCCACCACCATTGGCTTCCTATTGTCACTACATTATTGCCACCGTGCCTTGTTGTTGTTGTTAATCCCCCTGATTCATTCCTACATGTTGTTATTACTTAATCCCTGTTCATGTATATAAGTCTGTTCTGTGCTGTAGTACTTCACTCTTGCTTGACAACGGTATAAGAATCCATACCGAAACGTCGCATCATATATAATAAAGAAGTTGTTATCCATAAACTTTCTTACTTTCTTATGAAATGAATTTATCGCCTATTTCCACAATGTTTAAAAATCTGCAGGAAAGATTACCAGTATTATTGTACGACTGTTTTAATGTACATGATGTTTCAAATTGGTACACAAAATATCAACTTTGAGCATGAGTGAGTGAGTGAATATTACTTACAGAGCATCAGCAATTTTGCAGCAATTTGCGATGGCCTCAAGCCTAATGGAATAATGTTTCTAATGTTCCATAAAATATACAATCTTTCAATTGTTCCACAAAAACAGCAAACTCTGTAAGGAAACCCGTGATGTGGGCAATCCCCATATCCCAATGCGTTGATTGGCTGTTATATTTTCTGAAACAGCCAATCAACATTAACCATAATGTGTAACCTCCCTGGGGTCTACCCTGCATCCTCCTTCCCATAACTAATTATAGCCAGTATTAAGCCATTTCCCCTTAAAGTCTCTCCAAATGCTCTGTAAACACCATCTCAGAAATTGTTTACCAGTAATTACCAGAGAAAGTTGAACTTTTGCATATGTATATCTTTTACCGATGACATGGCATGTAATCATTATTCATTTTTTTATTTTTAAAGAAGAAATGAAAATTTATTTGTTTTTCATGGAACAGTTGCAATATGTATATTTTCATTTTAAACTTTTTGTAGATCGAAAACTGATAATAGTAATAAAAACGCAAACCAACTCGTGATGGGGAATGACAGATTCCTCAAAATTCGGCTTATAGACGGTCATATACGGTATATTAATTATGTAATTCTCTCACCAAGGCTCGAGAATTACGTAATTAATATATCTCGGGAAAGATAATCTGTCATTCCCCGTCACTCATTAGTTATTGTCTACATCCCTCATGGCAACAAACATATTTTACCTTTATTAGTCCAGTTGTTTTGTGAGGAGATGAAGTCTACAGTGCCAGGAAATACATTTTGAAAACTAATTTCTAACCTGGTTCAAACGTAGAGTTGAATAATATGTCAGAGCTAACATATGATAAATTGATGAAACATATATATAAATATACACAGTGGAAGCTCTCAAAACAGGCAGCCCTCCAATCCAGCATGCTCTCAATATCGGCACTAGAATTTGGTCCCGGCAGAAGCTAGTTAATTTATGAATCATTTACACGCCCTCTAATACGGCGTCAGTCTATTCCGTATTTTGGCACAACAAAGACCGGCTAATTGACTGTTTGTAAAGCAATTAACGCTCTCTAAACCGGCATCCGGTATCTCGGCTCTCCTGTTGATTGGCTGATTGACTGAACATGTATTAACAACACAGTGGATTACCATCAGCATTAAGCTCATTGATGTTGCCTGATAAAAGGAGTATGGATAAGCACTAGGCCTAAGTAGGTGAGGTAAATTGGTGAGTGACATGTGTCACTTGTATTATAAATTAATTGTCATGTCACAATTTGTCAGTCGCTCAGTTGGCTAGATTGGAATTAACTCTTAAACAGAAAATTCAGCTGATAAAAGATTTTGATGCCATTCCTCTGATGTTATCTTTAATGATGAATAAAGAATATGATGACTATCAGCACTTTGTTCGATCGCATTTTACGACACATGGAAGATCATTCTCAGGTTGAAAAGGGAAAAACTCTCTAAATCGGCACGAGCCTTATATAGCACCGAGTTCCAGCTAGGCTGCTCACAGGTGTTTGTTTTTTTTCCTTTGATAATAGGATGTCAATCTCAACGGCACTTCATATTATCAATCTCAACTCCCTGGGGATCATACTAGTGTTGGGAATTGGTTGAAATCTCACAATTGATGATTGCTTCATTACCAACGAACAATCATCGAAAAAAATTGGTTAGCGTCAATTTTCAGATTTTCCTATCCAGGTTGTTATTGCAGATATGTATAACATGATGCAACTTGCTACTTTAAAGTGATGACTGATATATCATGAACATAAACTTCCTGGAGTCTTAGAGAAATATTCAGTCATGACTTTTCAGATAGTGAAGTGAATTAAACACATTTTCAGGCCCTGACAACTTCTAAGATACGTTCCATTGTCAAGTATTTCAAAGACTAAAACAGTAGTTCCAAAATCGTTTATGTTCGATTATGAGAAAATGTGATCGATTGCTTGGTCGTTTGGTCACTGCGACCAATCTTCGATTATTTCAATTAATCGGAACACCACTAGATCATACAACTGTTGCAGCCACTAGGCGCACCGAGTTCATGTGGCTTTCTCATCCTTACAAGGTACCAATTGACAGCTGGGTGGACTGGGACACGTAGTCACAGTACTTTGTCCAGGTTTACTGCACGTTTCTGTACCTGCAACTAGGTGTTTGCACGTATTCATGTGGCCACCATCTGGTCATTTACCAACGGATTCGCAGGTTCTTTTAAGTGCACAGGGTTGTGACAACACTGAAAAAGTCCGCACAAAAGTTAACTCCAAGGTTTTTACACCCTTGGGTCTCAGGTAGGCTCGATCCCGTCACCTCAAGCTCGCAGGATCACTAGCCTGGCGCCTTAGACATATGTGTTTAGTTCTACTACTAACTATACAAAAATATATTAGTTTCAGAATATTTTGAATGAAAATGTCCGAGACATGGTCCATATTTAGAATATCATTAATGTTAAAATATATTTCTTAAAGACCACCTTCAAGAGCATAAATATCTAGTTTGAAGTCATTCAGTATTATAAACAACGGAACAAATAACAGAACCTACCATTTCTGTTGGCTGCCTGTGCCTGTGTCTGCACGTAGGGGAGAGAATGCCACTTGTGGGTTAACCCTGACGTGTGGAGGTGAAACCTGTCATGATTGAGAACATATTCTGTATATGGATACACACGGTCAGGACAGAAATAACAGATTGTGCTGCACCAGAATCCAGTGATCCAGAATCCTGCTCTACTGACTCCAGGATCCGGCTGTATCAGGTACAGTCCGTTTGAGGCAGAAATGGACCGATGAATTGCAAATTTTATCATTGTACAAAATTGCCACATAAATATAAATAGTACACATGTTTATCATTTACTAATACCCAACAGCTTTCTTATATTTGAAATTTTCCGGGACTCCACCAAAAAAGTTCTTTAAGAAACTATCATCATTGAAACAGCAAAAGTTGTTATCTGTCGCGGCGGGGTGAAACCACAGAAACGGAACAGCCACTATCTCGTCGTGCACGGGATACACATGCCTGATGAAAAATGAAGTTGAATGCTGACGTGAAACAGTTGATGATTAAAGTGTACGTTTTTTTTCCGTGCTGAAGCCGAAAGGGGCAAACCATTTTATGCCATTAATATATTCCGTAAGCGGGCAGCAAAAGCTTTAGGAGTATCAGCAAGGGTACTGACAAATGTTCTGGAACACAAACATTGTGAGGGTGATGCGAAGCAGGTAGGGGTCGTGTCAAAATGACACAAACTAAAACATTTGGACAACTTTCAAAAGAACCTTGTAAGGCAGTCTATCAACAAGCTCTATTCTGAAAACAAATACATGTCGCTGAAAATTTTAAAAAAAGCATTTGAAGCAAGAACACAACCTCAGAGCATCAAAGTACACACTCTGGCGACTCTTACACTCTTTCGGGTATCGTTATAAGAAAATTTCAGGGGGAGTATAGGTCAGTAATCTGTGAACGCCCTGATATCATTCGCTTGAGAAATAATTGTGTCAGGGTTATAAAGAAGAAGCGCGAGGAAGGGTTCGAGCCAGTGTACTTGGACGAGACCTGGGTCAATGCCTCGCACACTGCCAGCAGTCAGTGGGTACCCCGATGGGGTTGATAAGGGGTCACATAGAAAGCTGCCTCTAGGGAAAGGAGAGAGACTAATCATTCTCCATGCTGGTTGCTCCAGCAAACGCTTTCTCCCAGGCTGCGACTTGGTATTCAGGGCAAAGTCCACAGATAACAGAGACTACCATTCCGAGATGAATGGTGCGGTTTTCCTCCATTGGGTTAAAAACAAGTTGGTACCAGCTCTACCAGAGAAGTCTTTTATCGTAATGGACAATGCCCCATACCACAGCATGCAGGACCCCGACAGTAAAGCCCCGACATCGAACAGTCGAAAAGGTGATATGATATCATGGCTCGACAAATTTCAGATCGCACGGCCTTCAAAGGCAACGAAGCCTCAGCTATATGAGATCATAAAAACCCACAAAGGTGAACCTTTCTACAAAGTTGACAGTTACATAAAAAGTAAGGGTCACGATATTCTGCGACTTCCACCCTATCACTGTGACCTTAACCCCATTGAAATGATATGGGGTATTGTCAAAGGAGATGTTGCCAGATCAAACACAACTTTTAGATTACGTGACGTAGAGGTTTTGGTTGAGGAATCCCATAACAAAATCACGACTGAAACTTGGCAAAACTGTGTCAACAAGGTAGCTAACGTCATTGAACAAGGTTACTGGTCTCGGGATGGCTTACAACAGGCAACTGTGGCACCACTTGTCATCCCTTTAAGTCGTGACTATGACACTATGACAGACGAGGAACCGACAGGTCTCCCTGAATAGATTTTGAGATGTCCCCCGCCATGACTGGCTGTTCCGTTTCTGCGGTTTCACCCCGCCACGACAGATAACAACTTTTGCGTTTTCAATGATGATAGTTTCTTAAAGAACTTTTTTGGTGGAGTCCGGAAAATTTTCAAATATAAGAAAGCTGTTGGGTATTAGTAAATGATAAACATGTGTACTATTTATATTTATGTGGCAATTTTGTACAATGATCAAATTTGCAATTCATCGGTCCGTTTCTGACTCAAACAGACTGTACATTGATAATGAATCCCCCCCTACTGACAACACTGATCCAGGATCCTGCTGGAATGGCTACAGTGATCCAGGATCCTGCTGTATCAGCTACATTGATAAACAATCCTCCTCTACTGACAACACTGATCCAGGATTCTGCTGGAATGGCTACAGTGATCCAGGATCCTGCTGTATCAGCTACATTGATAAACAATCCTCCTCTTCTGACAACACTGATCCAGGATCCTGCTGTACCGGCTACATTGATCAAGAATAATGACAATTATTATGGATATACAACTTCTTTTATTCTGTGGAGGCGACGTTTCGACATAGGTTCTTATGTCGTTGTCAAGCAAGTGATACATGAGTAACAAATTGAGAGAATATATACAGGAGTTGTTGTTACAGTAGATAGGAATGAGTTGTTTATACAATCGATGAGGTTGATGTCCAAAATTTGTATGAGAGATTGAGTAAATTGATAGGAAGCCAGTAGGGTGACATACAAGGACTGAATTAGAGCTTATACAACTGATAGGAAGCCAGGTGGATGTTTCTACAATGGATGGGGTTGATGTACATAGTTGGAATGAAACAGGTAATGTACACAAGAAATATTGTTGATTACTTTATCAAGTGATGGTAGGCATTGGGAATGTAGTATCCTTCATCTCTGTTGAGGACGGGTGCTATCTTCTTGATGTGTACTGCTTCCAAAAGTTTACGAATTTTGTAGTCTGACTGGTTCTTTACGATGGTTTTGGTCTTGTCCCATTTGATGGTGTGGTTAGGATGGGCATTGATGTGGTAGATTACATTGATCAAGGATCCGGCTGTATCAGCTACATTGATAAAGAATCCTCCTCTACTGACAACACTGACCCAGGATCCTGCTCTAATGGCTACAATGATCCAGGATCCTGATGTACCGGCTACATTGATTCACCATCTTGTTGTATTGCAACTGCTCAGTTAGTTATAATTCCTGGATCTACAGTCCAGGTTTATCCTGTGTAAGGATCTACAGTCCAAGTTTAAGCTGTGCTGGGATCTACAGTCAAAGTTTACCCTGTGTTGGGATCTACATTCCAAGTTTATCCTGTGTAAGGATCTACGGTCCAAGTTTATCCTGTGTAAGGATCTACAGTCCAAGTTTATCCTGTGTAAGGATCTACAGTCCAAGTTTAAGCTGTGGTGGGATCTATAGTCAAAGTTTACCCTGCGTTGGGATCTACATTCCAAGTTTATCTTGAGTTGGGATCTACAGTCCAAGTATATCCTCTGTTGGGATCAACAGTCCAAGTTTATCCTGTGTAAGGATCCACAGTCCAAGTATATCCTCTGTTGGGATCAACAGTCCTAGTTTATCCTGTGTAAGGATCTACAGTCCAAGTTTACCCTGTGTTGGGATCTACAGTCCAGGTTTATCCTGTGGAAGGATCTACAGTCAAAGTTTATCCTGTGTTGGGATCTACAGTCAAAGTTTATCCTGTGTTGGGATCTACAGTCCAAGTTTATCTTGAGTTGGGATCAACAGTCAAAGTTTACCCTGTGTTGGGATAAACAGTCAATGTTTACCCTGTGTTGGGATCTACAGTCAAAGTTTACCCTGTGTTGGGATAAACAGTCAATGTTTACCCTGTGTTGGGTTCTACAGTAAAAGTTTACCCTGTGTAAGAATCTACAGTCCAAGTTTACCCTATGTTGGGATCTACAGTCCAAGTACATCCTGTGTTGGGATCTACAGTCAATGCTTACCCTGTTTTGGGATCAACAGTCAAAGTTTACCCTGTGTTGGGATCTACAGTCAATGTTTACCCTGTGTTGTGATCTAAAGTCATAATTTACCTTGTGTTGGGATCTACAGTCCAAGTTTATCCTGTGTTGAGATGAACAGTCCAAGTTTATCCTGTATTGAGATCAACAGTCAAAGTTTATCCAGTGTTGAGATCAATAGTCAATGTTTATCCTGTGTTGGGATCTACAGTACAAGTTTATCCTGTGTTGGGATCTACAGTTAAAGTTTATCCTGTATTGAGATCAACAGTCAAAGTTTATCCTGTGTTGAGATCAATAGTCAATGTTTATCCTGTGTTGGGATCTACAGTCCAAGTTTATCCTGTGTTGGGATCTACAGTCAAAGTTTATCCTGTATTGAGATCAACAGTCAAAGTTTATCCTGTGTTGAGATCAATAGTCAATGTTTATCCTGTGTTGGGATCTACAGTCCAAGTTTATCCTGTGTTGGGATCTACAGTATAAGTTTATCCTGTGTTGGGATCTACAGTCAAAGTGTATCCTGGGTTGGGATCTACAGTCAAGTTTACCCAGTGTTGGGATCTACAGTCCAAGTTTACCCTGTGTTGGGATCTACAGTCCAAGTTTATCCGGTGTTGGGATCTACAGTCAATGCTTACCCTGTGTTGGGATCTACAGTTCAAGTTTATCCTGCATTGAGATCAACAGTCAAAGTTTATCCTGTGTTGGGATCTACAGACAAGGTTTATCCTGTGTTGAGATCTACAGTCAAGGTTTATCCTGTGTACAGATCTACATTCAAAGTTTACCCTGTATATGGATCCAGGTTGAGGGCTCTGATAGGGGGCAGCACCATCTGCAGATCCACTGTTAGGAAGCCAGTGTCAGTCAATCTCAGGTTGAGGTCTGCCCTAGCTTGATAATCCCCTTCGAAGGTATCCCTAAAAGAAAGCATCACAGGAATGTTGCTTACCTGGCAAAGTGTAAAACACTGAGGGGATGGTTGTTCTAGCTTTTTGTAGACTGATCTATTAATTAAAGCAAACCTCTTACAACAAGCATGGTTGCTAAAAACAATTCTAACCTGGATCTTCATGGGTCTACTGGTTTGTACATACCACAAGAGAAGAAAAGGTAATAAGACATTTGACTGAAACATGTTGCCTCGAAGATGGGATTGCAGTGAGTGAGTTACATTTCACTGCTGCTTTTAGCATTATTTCAGCAATATGACTGTGGGGGTACACCAGAAATGTTTTTCACACAATGTAACCATGTGGGGAATCGAACCTGGGTCTTCGGCGTGATGTGCGAATGCATTAACCACTAGGCTACCCCACCTAGATTGGTAAGGCATGATATTGTCATCATGCACTATGCCGACTGCACTTATTATCTCGTTAAACTTTTAAATGTTAACATGAACATGTTTGAACAATATGTCAGTGTATTTGTCAATGGATGTTTGACAATAAATACTGAGAAACCAACTGAAATAAGTAAAATTACATTTGTTTGCTGACTAAGTTTTAAATATAGGGTAAATGAAAAAATCCAAATAGATTTTCATGAGAAATGGAATAATATCAATAAGAATCTATATGTTTTGTTTTCATTCACTTGGGACCAACCATCTGGTGGAGGGATGGGATTCTACAGAAAAAGAATGAATTGTCTCTAAGAAGGAAAAACAATATGCATCACATAAAAAGATAATGTTGCAAGGTGTTTTGGGTAAAATAAACTCTGGCCAAAATCCTTGATTTAAAAAACTATCTGGCTGTGCATATGTGTCTGAAAAATTATGTTGACTATGTTTAACTTACTTGGTATTGACAATCCGAAGATGACCAAGCTGTGTCCTCCATATGACCTTGAGAAACTTAGGCGTTCCATGTTCGGCAACATGGTCAAGAACTGGCTGCCATGCGTTGTGTTTGCGTGTGGTACCTTTCACTGACTGTGGTATTTCCAGCAATCCACTGAAAATACAGCACAATACATTCAAATTGCATTAATTAGTCATGAATCGTTTTGCAGTTTTAGTAAAGCTTTGGACAAAAATTTGTAGTTAAATTATTACCGTCATTAAAAAATAAATGTCAAAGATTAATACACGATAAAAAGTATAGAAGTACTGCAATAATCAGAGAGAGAGAGAGAGATGTGTTATCAGTAACAAAGTCAAGATCATACTATGATAGTGTTATCAGTAACAAAGTCAAGATCATAACTATGATAGTGTAAATCTAATTCATTAGCTCATGGCCTTTGTGATCATTAATTCAAATCTGTATAACACTTGTCTTTTTTGCAATCAACAGACATCATAACATGTCATGTGTTCAAGTATCACACCTGCCTGTCTGTGTAATTACATAATGTGACAGACACCGAACTCGGGCCATAAATCAATGCATTTTGTTTATGGTGTATAGCCTGATTGGTGTTAAGTTCAAATTGCATGTGGTCAGTGATAGCAGCTGTGTATTGAATATTGTCATTAGCAGACAGACAGGCAGGCATACACACAGGTGTCAATAAAACAAGACACTGAGTTTTGTCTGTGACAACGACATATCTATATCACAGTTAGAAATTCTGTCAACGCTAAATAATGACGTGTGGTGAAATAGACAAATGAACGAACGTGTGGTGAAATAGACAAATGAAATTATATACAGTGAAGCCTCATTAATCCGGACGGTTGCGTTTCTCAGTAAATTTGTCCGGATTGCGAATATAGTCCGGACTACTGAATCAAGACCCAAGTTGCTTCCCTAACTATTACAAAAACGACACGAATCTGGATAAAACAAATAAGCATTTAATGTAAAGCTTAATTCATCACATCAATAATTTTACCGAGTGACATCCGAGTGACATTAACCAATCACAAAACAGCTCACTTGTCATCCACGCCTTTGTATTGTGGCGTCAATCAAAGTGTAAATGTACAGCATCTTCAGTCGGGAGCTTTTAATGTCTAATTAAAACAACAACACAGTTGGCCAGTTAATTAAGTAAACATCGCCGGGAGGTGTTGTTACGGTTCGTGAACACGACTTACAGCGTCCGGACTGTGAAGCAATTTACTGTTTATTTTACTGATTGGTGACAGCTACTTACCGCCCTTTCTGGAAACCGAATTTCTGGATTATCGAGGCAAATTATATAGGCATAGATTGGTAACAAAATCGTCCGGTAGGCGAGACATCCGGATTATCGGAGTCCGGACTAACGGGGCTTCACTGTAAACAGTTAATTTACTGTCATAACATATAAAAAGCTCGCACTTGTGAGATATCAACAAAACATTAGAAAAATAGCTCACACCAAAGCCTTCACCGAGTATTCACCGGACAACCCGCTTCCAAGCTGGGTGAACCTATTTCACTGCGCACGTGCTATGAGCGAAGACCAGCTGTTGAAACCAGTTTTCCCCCGAAAAGTCGGGGGAAAATTAGTGAAACGTTTGAACTCCGATTTCGAGCGGTTTTTTTCATCGCATTATTTTTCAACTTTATAAGTTGAATTTGCATTTTTGACGATTTGTTTTGGTAAGTCCATACTGAAAGGTATCAGAATCTGCAAAGTTGTGTTTTACGTTGCATGTGACCTTTAAGGAAAGGTGGAAACTATTGTATTTAGTAACTCTCTGATGGCTTTGAAGTGTTTTCATTGAAAAAGAACACAATATACATGCAATATGTTACATACATGATTTTGTTCACATTCTTATATACATAAAGAGGGGCATTTAATAGATATTATCTAAATTTCGAATTCCTGTGATACCAGAGACTACTCAAAGATTTAAAATTATTCCATTCACTTTTGCAAATATATTTCCTACATTGGCATATTGAAATACCTTGTAAGGGCAGAAGAGAAGGCCCTGTAAGATTCTCGAGCTGAACCCAGTAGAGCCTTCACCATGGCCAGATGAAGCAGGAAAATCCCAGACTGCCCAACTAAACTCTCTATCAGCTTCACAGATTTCTCAAGGTAATCCTGAATATTTGCTGTGGACAGAAGCAACAGTCAATGGACAGTGATACAAATCCCTCCAGATAATCCGGAACATTCTCTGTGGACAGAAGCAACAGTCAGTAGACAGTGACACAAATCCCTCCAGACAATCCTGAACACTCTGTGGACAGAAAAAACACCACCTCCCCTCACCCATCACCCCCATATGCTGGTTCAGGAAAGTGGATAAAAAATACTATTGATGATCCCAGACACCAAATATTTTACAAATCAGTCACACTACAACATAAGGAAACTCTTAGAGGCAATCAACATCAAATGACACAACCTGACAGAGATCAAGGTTATCATATCCCTACGGCTTACCATCATCTATTCAAGGTCAATCATGTTGAGGCCCTACACTTTGTCCATCTAGCTTCATATCCATTATCTGTTATCACAACAACTATTAGTAACGTCATCACCTACTACATCAACCTAGGTAACTAACTCTTATATCCTTCATGTATATATTCTTCTTGTCCAAAATGTTGGACCGCCTGCAGGGGGTAGTGGTTAGAGCATCCACCCGGAGAGCGGAAGGTCGTGGGTTCAATCCCCGGCCACGCCATACCAAGAAGTCGTTAAAATATGGTACTTGTTGGTCCCTGTCTGGTGCTTAATTAATGGGTACAACAAGGACTAGTCGGCTCGGGGTCAGTATAATGTGTCTGAGTGGGGTATTCATGCTTAACTGCGGCATATATCTCAGTGAGCTAGCACTATAAAAACTATAAAACCAGCTTAAGTCTGGACCAGTACAAGCAGCCACTCATACACATACACATCCATGCATGTTGTCATGTGAGTGAAATATTCTCAAGTACGATGTTAAACCCCATTTCACCTCACCTCCAACATGTTGTGTATCACTTGCTTGATACTGATGTTAACATCTTCACCGAAACCATGCATCCATTGCAATAAAGAATTTGTCTATCCATAAATGATTGTTCCTGTTCATCATACCAGCTTCTAAAGGCCACTCAGTGAAGTAGGATATCACAATAAAATCAGCATTAGTCTGAACTAGTTCATGCTGCTGTACAAGTTTAACAGTCTTGTGATATTAAATCTCAGTTCACTTCAGCTTATTTCACCTGGTCAATTAAGCATAATTAATTGAATAATTTAGTAAGAATAATCTTACATTTTGCCACATTGTTAAATTCATTATCCATCTAATACTATGTGTCCCAGTTCACCCAGCTGTGAATGGGTACCTGTAAGGATGGGAAAGCCACATTATCTTGGTGCACCTAGTGGCTGAGTTGTGTGATCCCCAGAGAGTTGAGATTGAAAATATGAATTCGCTGTTGAGATTGACATCCAATGATCAAGGGAAAACAAAATGCTTTGAGCATGTATGTAGATGGGATGGACTATAGTGCTACATAAATATCCTTTATTTGCACAAGATCTTGCCGTTAAGAGGCTCTTCCAAGGTGTGCATGAAAACGAAGTGTCATCATAGGCGATGCATAACGGTAGTATCTATGTCATTATCATGCATATGACCTTAGAGTTAGTGACAATAGTGGGAGACGTAAAATGTAGTCTTAGGTGACAGTAAGGTTACGTTTGTGATGTCATCATATTTTTGACATCATAGTTAGTAACAATAGTGGTGGACGTATATGCATTATGGTTTCAGCACACAAATACACATGGAGCTACATTGGGAAGGTTATATACTCATACTTTTGAAATAGGCTTAGGTTTAAACAGTCTTATGAACATTTGTTCTTTTTCCATGTGTAATTGTTTATCATTGTTAAATAATTGATACAATGGAAAGATAGTAAACTGGCCATTCCCGCATTAATCAATGTGTTTGCTGACATTTATACATGGCACATAAGGATCTCGAATTTGCTGTCTGTGTACCGTGACTCAGTCCTTTAGTTGCATTCCAACTATACGTCCACCACTATTGTTACTGATCAATGACTATGATTTTATTTTGTCTTCCTTTAACAATGTTGAAAATTACATTCTTCACATTCTTTCCTGAAAGCACAATCAGCTCAGTCCCACCTTGCGCAGTTCCTGCATGAAAACACAGGAAAGAGTCCACAGCTTGGACCCCAGAGCTCCATGGACATGTAGGATGCAGGCACTTGATGGCAGCAGCCCAGGCCCCAGCTGCCAATCTGGCTTTCTCTGGTGTCATCAGACTGAAAATGAGAGGGGATGGTTTTATGTTGCCCTTAGGAATATTCCAGCAATATCACAGTGAGGGATAACAGAAATGGCCTCCATGATGATTTTAAGGGGGTCACCATTTTGTTCTGAGGATGTACGCGGGTCATCAATTTTGTAAACATGTAGTAGGGGGTCATCAATTGTGTACACATGTAGTAGGGGGTCATCAGTTTTGTACATAGGTAGTAGGGGGTCATCAGTTTTGTACGCATGTAGTAGGGGGTCATCAGTTTTGTACACATGTAGTAGGGGGTCATCAATTTTGTAAACATGTAGTAAGGGGTCATCAATTTTGTACACATGTAGTAGGGGGTCAGGGGTCATCATTTTTGTTGTACACACACATGTAGTAGGGGGTGTATCATGTAGTAGGGGGTCATCATGTTTTGTACACTTGAACACATGTAGTAGGGGTCATCAGTTTTGTACACATGTAGTAGGGGGTCATCAATTTTGTACACATGTAGTAGGGGGTCATCAATTTTGTACACATGTAGTAAGGGGTCATCAATTTTGTACACATGTAGTAGGGTCATTAATTTTGTACATATGTAGTAGGGGGTCATCAGTTTTGTACACATGTAGTAGGGGGTCATCAGTTTTGTACACATGTAGAAGGGGGTCATCAATTTTGTACACATGTAGTAAGGGGTCATCAATTTTGTACACATGTAGTAGGGTCATCAATTTTGTACACATGTAGTAAGGGGTCATCAATTTTGTACACATGTAGTAGGGTCATTAATTTTGTACATATGTAGTAGGGGGTCATCAGTTTTGTACACATGTAGTAGGGGGTCATCAATTTTGTACACATGTAGTAAGGGGTCATCAATTTTGTACACATGTAGTAGGGTCATTAATTTTGTACATATGTAGTAGGGGGTCATCAGTTTTGTACACATGTAGTAGGGGGTCATCAGTTTTGTACACATGTAGAAGGAGGTCATCAATTTTGTACACATGTAGTAAGGGGTCATCAATTTTGTACACATGTAGTAGGGTCATCAATTTTGTACACATGTAGTAGGGGTCATCAATTGTGTACACATGTAGTAGGGGGTCATCAATTTTGTACACATGTAGTAGGGGGTCATCAATTGTGTACACATGTAGTAGGGGGTCATCAATTTTGTACACATGTAGTAGGGAGTCATCAATTGTGTACACATGTAGTAGGGGGTCATCAATTGTGTACACATGTAGTAGGGGGTCATCAATTGTGTATACATGTAGTAAGGGGTCATCAATTTTGTACACATGTAGTAGGGGGTCATCAACTTTGTACACATATACTTGGGGGTAAACAATTTTGTACATAAAAATATTTAAAATTTATGCTTAAAAATTATGGGAAGAGGGAGGGGGTGGTCGTTGATTTTGTACATGACATGCAGGGGGGTCATTTACTTTGTACATACATTTTAGGGGGGTCATTCACATTGTGCATGCTTCTCCTTAAAAATCATTATCACCCCCCTAGCCATAAACTATGAACGATCCTTTTAATAATAATAATAATAATAATGTGTCCATTTATATAGCGCCAAGCTCCACACTAGGTATGCTCATAGCGCTAACAATCAAGGAACAGCATATTATTACCCCAGATAACCCAAGCTGCCTGTTAGACCTTAAATATAGTTCAGTTCAGTTCAGTTCAGACATCAGCAGAGCAAACCTTAATAACTTTCAACATGAATATTTCACTGGTGATTTCAATACCATACACTTGATGTTCAGTAACCCATGCTTATCGTAAGAGGCGACTAATGGGTTCGGGTGGTCAGGATCTCTGACTTGGTTGACACATGTCATCATATCCCAAATCAATGCCTACTGTCAAGAAGTCTTACCTTTGGTCAGGTACACTGGCCATCAATGCCTACTGTCAAGAAGTCTTGCCCTTGGTCATATACACTTGCCATCAATGCCTACTGTCAAGAAGTCTTGCCCTTGGTCATATACACTTGCCATCATTGCCTACTGTCAAGAAGTATTACCCTTGGTCAAGTACACTGGCCATCAATGTCAGCTGTCAAGAAGTCTTGCCCTTGGCCATATACACTGGCCATCAATGCCTACTGTCAAGAAGTCTTGCCCTTGGTTAGGTACACTTGCCATCAATGTCTACTGTCAAGAAGTCTTACCCTTGGCCATATACACTGGCCATCAATGTCAACTGTCAAGAAGTCTTACCCTTGGTCATATACACTTGCCATCATTGCCTACTGTCAAGAAGTATTACCCTTGGTCAAGTACACTGGCCATCAATGTCAGCTGTCAAGAAGTCTTGCCCTTGGCCATATACACTGGCCATCAATGCCTACTGTCAAGAAGTCTTGCCCTTGGTTAGGTACACTTGCCATCAATGTCTACTGTCAAGAAGTCTTACCCTTGGCCATATACACTTGCCATCAATGCCTATTGTCAAGACGTCTTACCCTTGGTCAGGTTAAGTTTCCATCAATGTCAACTGTCGAGAAGTCCTCCATTCAACATGCACATTGGCCATCAAAGTCAGCTTCCAAGAAGTCGTAAACACTGGTCATTGATCATAACTATCAAGAAATTTTACCCTTGGTCATGTACACTGGCAATCAATGACATCTGCTGAAGGAGGGTATTTTTCTCAAGTTTCATGGTCCTAGACTTTGCCATAATGATATCAGAGGCTTCTATGTAGAGTCGAGACGCTTTCTGTGGCTCATCATTCTGAGCATAGATTCTTGCTGCTTCACTCAACAACATAGGTCTGGATGGATGAGTTGAAGAGAACACTGCAACAAATATGTTCATCTCTTTCATAAGCTAGGGAGGTGAACGTGACTGTGGTTGGGTTTAACACTTTTTCCCACGGTATTTCACCACAGTGTGGCAGCTGTTATACTTAATATGGGATAAAGGCCAAGATAACACAGGTAAGTGAATGAATGAGTGAGTGAGTTGGGTTTAACACAGCTTTTGAACAGCTGGAGAGCAGGGCCCATTGAGATTATTGGGTTTTATTGAGTTGAAAGATGAAAATAACAAAACGTTTTGTCTCAATGGTTCTTGTTTCAATCATTGCCAAATATTTTAAGCAATTCTGTGATGTAATAAACACATTTCCATTGCTGCATGACCTTAAAAAGATTGTCCAATTTTCAATCTTGTTTAGGCCAGCAAATCCATAAAACAAATATGAGGCTTTGGACTAGTGGTTGAAGTCATTAACTGGTATGACATTGAACAAGGCAAATAGGCATTGTGGTAAGCAGACAACAACTGGTTCTCAGACAACCAGACTCAATAATATGGTGAGAAGATAAACTGACTTACTGCAAAGTCAATCAGTACAATTTGAATAAAATACCTTCCCTTGTCTGAGCAAGTCTGACAAAACATTCTGCAGCAAACTGTATGTTTCCTCGAGCCCAGAACACATATGGCAGTGCCTCATCAAAAAACACATCAACCACGCCTGGGTATCTGAAACAATAACACATAGCACAGTGCGTTATCAAAGAATACATCAACCACGCCTGGGTATCTGAAACAATAACACATAGCACAGTGCGTTATCAAAGAATACATCAACCACGGCTGGGTATCTGAAACAATAACACATAGCACAGTGCCTCATCAAAGAATACATCAACCACGCCTGGGTATCTGAAACAATAACACATAGCACAGTGCCTCATCAAAGAACACATAATACCATGCCTAGTTATCTGAAACAATAACACACAGCACAGTGCCTCATCATAGAAGACATCAACCACGGCTGGGTATCTGAAACAATAACACATAGCACAGTGCGTTATCAAAGAATACATCAACCATGCCTGGGTATCTGAAACAATAACACATAGCACAGTGCCTCATCATAGAAGACATCAACCACGGCTGGGTATCTGAAACAATAACACATAGCACAGTGCCTCATCAAAAAACACATCAACCACGGCTGGGTATCTGAAACAATAACACATAGCACAGTGCCTCATCAAAAAACACATCAACCACGCCTGGGTATCTGAAACAATCACACATAGCACAGTGCCTAATCATAGAATACATCAACCATGGCTGGGTATCTGAAACAATAACACATAGCACAGTGCCTCAGCATAGAAGACATCAACCACGGCTGGGTATCTGAAACAATAACACATAGCTACAACCATCATTTGGTCGCAGATGTTGCCTCAGCTCATGCATCCGCGCCCTCGAAGCGGAAAGAGCTTAACTCTCGTCATGGTAACATCATTACGGGGCAGCTGCGTGGCCAGGTTGTAACTTTCAAACCGGAACCCTCCCAGTACCTCACCAAACAGGGCATGACAGCCGAACACTTGGCTGTGCTAATGGCAGTCTAATCAGGATAACTGCTTAAGTGCCCTGCTCTATTAACTGTTGTCACAACCTCTTCCGCGTCCCTTCCCCTTACTATAGATACCGATAGGCATTATGAAACTGACATCTCAATGTATACCTGCTTTTGTCATCCATTCACTAAACCTTGCCACTTACAATTATTACATAAACAAATATTCACTCACATGGTGAAACAATTCCAAATTTACCTTTCCTGGAGAATTTTCTTGACAGAGTAGACCATGGCATCAGTGGTTTTCTGGATGAGCTGCGACTCTGAGCTGCAGTCTCGGGATGAGTGACGTAGACGGCCAGCAGAAATATGCTGAGGTAGCATGAACTCTATAACACTTGCCATCACTGTCAACAACAATGATAATCACAATCGTGACACCAATATATATCATATACATGAATATGAATACATCATCAAATACAGAGGTTACCTTTCTCTACCGAAACCTGCTGAAGATTTTTCTGCAGATGAAAGAAATATATGATACCTATTTCCGCATGTTCCAGATAAACCAAAATTATCACTGGTATAAACACATATTTGAAAAACATGCAAGGACCTTAATCATTTGTTTCATGGAAGATAATTTTTCAGGAACATATTTCTTGGCAAACATACACAGACAAAAGTTAAATCACAAAACAGTATGAACAAATGTAGGACATTTCATCTGTCAGCTATCAAACATTGTGAACCCACCTGATAATTGGTAAAATTTTGGGCACCACATGATACTTGCATATCTAGAGCTCTTATCCTTTTTAACATAAGAATATGGGAGTATTGATGTGACTTCTCCACCAATGTAATCATCGTCATTGTAGTATTCATCATTCCAAATGTTTCGAGCCTTTAACTTGCATGCACAAGGTGGATTCCGTTTTTCAATAAAGCCAAGCAGGCGATACAGCCATGACAACTGAATGCTTGTAAAGGCCTGGTCTCTCCTTCTCTCATACAAAACATGTTTCATTGGTCGAGGCATGCTGCTTGTCGATTGTCGTTTCTGATTTGAACGCTTGGTTGAAACTGAACGAAGACACAACTCAAACAACGTCGGAACATTTCGGATGTTGGGACGTGAGTTGACAAAAGAATCACCAACAAGGTCTGCAAATTCAAAGTCTATATTGTCAACATTTCTAAATGGGGCATCATAGTCAACATATGTGACTGACTGCTTTTTTAATCTATCTTTCTGTCTCTTTTTCTGCTTCTTACTTGGAGCTCGAGTTCTTCCCATCTGAGTTTGGTTTGAAATTGTGTCGACACTGTCAAACACACTGTTTGTACAGTCAGAAGCAACAGAAGCTGCTTCACCTACAGAACAATAATCTCCTGACTGATTCAGGGGTTCAGTATCACTGTCACATAAACTTGATCTCTCTTCAGCAGAAAAATACTCGGATTCATCGCTGTCATTAGAGTTATCTCCCTTTGTTTCACTTCCCGAACAAGCATCTCCATCACTGTCGGAACTTGTTGCCTGGTCACATGCTGTTCCACCAGCTGCTTCATGGGGTCTGATTTCCCAGGAGATCATACGAGCAAAGGCTGGTCTCTGTCTCCGCAGAGCCACCAGCCTGCCCAGAGCTACGTCTTCATCCATGTCTTACTGAAACAGGGAAACACCTGATTAGAACTAAACATTCCCCAGTATTGAATTAGGGACCGTTCATAATTTATGGCTAGGGGGTGATGATGATATATGTCTGTAAATGTGGAAGCCAATTTATCATCACTAAAGATGGCCTATTCATACACAAGTATATTTTGTTAACAACAAAATGTCAGTTATTTGTAACATAATACCTACAATTTTGATAAACTTAATGATTCAAACAACCATGTTTTTTTGCCTCCCAAGTGAAACTATTTGCATTCATTTTTGATTTATATTAGCATACAAATTGCATTGGGGAAAATCCTGCATGAGATTATTTGCTACCATGCAAACAACTGCAGACATTGGTTAGCATTCATTTCATGTGTGATCATGGTGAAAGAAAGTTGTGATCATACTTGACACACCCTAATCATGACAATACCTTGTGAACTTGTAACTTTGAATGGTGTCAGCTTCCTTTTGAGGACGTTTTCTGTGGCAGAAAGCCAGGTTGGCGAACAACAGACACTTGGGAAGAAGGATCCTGGAATGGTTGTAGTGTTTCGATATAGCCATTATTATGTACACTCGCGTAACCTTGATTCATGGCTATAAGGGAAGTACGCTGAAAATCATATGTTAAATGCGCGATTTCAATTTGTATGCTCACTGATTATTTTATTCACTGATTCAGCAACTTGAAAATATCTAATAATATTCCACTCGTGAATGAAACGTTTTTATACAGAAGCCATTAGCAATCATCACCCATTCGCACAAAATATGACGTCACCTTGTTTCGTGGACTATGTTTCGGTTACTATATATCACTATGTAGGACAGCCCATTGCAGACGACAAGATATGAGAAGGTTGGTGCTAATGGTATCTTTTTAACTTGACATTTTGTAAAAATAAAATTTGGTATTAGTGGTATTAGTGATTTTTGGCTATTTATCTCAGTGCTTGACAATTAGATTTAGTGTCCTTATGTGTAATGCAGAGATTCGGAACATTTTTGTCAGCAAGGCATGGCATTGATTGTACATCAAAAGTACAGCTTTGTGACGTCATACGAGACTTAATTTACGAGAGAGCATGATAATTGATTATCCACAAATCATGGCTATCCATCAATCTAGGTTACGGTTCTGTATGTTTTTAAGTTACTATCTCCTAAAATTAAATAACACAGACAAACATTTTCATTTGCAGCTTTTATAGTGTGGTAATAGTTAGTTGTAAATGGTCAACTCTGAAAATAGGTTGCAAATGTAGCGGCCATAAAATTTCCGAGTCCCCTGCTGGGATTCGAACCATGGACCTTCTGATCTGAAGTCTGACACCTTGTCTACATGACCAAAGAGGTTAACCCCATCAGCAAGCTGACAAGGTAAGGATATCATCTAGGAGATAAAGCCTACTCCTTCCGTTTACCTGTGAGGTATAACCAACTGTTGACACAAACTTGCAAAAGAACGCTATTTCTCCAAGGCTGAAATGTGTCTTTCCGACTTTCGTCTGCGTGGTGCAACCACAACAAAAGGGGGATAACTCAAATCTTGTTTCGGTTGCGTGCCACTAGAATGTGCTCTGTTCTTTCTTTCCTCTCATTCGGTTCACCACAATACTGATTTGTGAACACGTAGCTCAAGAAACAATTTGCGTTTGTCAACAGGTACTTGTTGATAAAGAATATATTTGAAAGAATGAATCATTATCTGGGGTCTGTTCCTTCGGGTCTCCCGTAAAATTCCTTTCTTGTGTTATTTTGTGAGGTTGTGTTTTAAAGGGATTACACACCTGTGTTCCGAAGTAAGAAATGGAGTGAGTTCAAATAGTGATCTGAGTGAGTGAGTGAGTTTAGTTTTACGCCGCCTTCAGCAATATTCCAGCTATATGGCGGCGGTCTGTAAATAATCGAGTCTTGACCGAACAACCCAGTGATCAACATCTTGAGCATCAATCTACGCAATTGGGATACGATGACATGTGTCAACCAAGTCAGCGTGCCTGACCACCCCGTCCCGTTAGTCGCCTCTTACGACAAGCATGGGTTACTGAAGATCAATTGTAACCCGGATCTAAATGTGATCTGAAGGAGTTTAGATTCAGATTCAGATTTGATTAATGATGGAAACATATGTGCTCTCGCCTTTCATCTAGTTAAGAAGCTGCGAGCTTATAAGGGATGTACTGTACATGATGCAAGACACAATAAAACTAAATACAACTTACCATTATTGTAAGTTAGCCAGTCAGTGACTCATGAACAGACTAGGTGTAATCTAAGATCAAATTATTATCAAAGGGAATAAAGTTGATCTATGAAAAAGTACACTTATAGTAACCAGTCTAAGTAATAATACTGAGCCTAAGTTTACTTAGTCTGACTAAGTAACTATACAAGAGCAAGATGATCTAGTTCCTGGATGAGGAAAGGAAGACAGACAAGTTGAAGATTATTTATTTCAATGCTGGCAAGCGACTTCCATCAAATATGAAGCACCAGGAAATGATACTTCATGTTTGGCTCGAGTTACAGGACGGTGGATGTAACTGTGCCAAGAACCTTTGATAGCAATACTTAATACTTAAATTGTATTGTATCCTACGTTAGGTATAAATCAAAATAATAAAGTTATTCATTTTTCAGTAACATCACGCTTCAAGGTCAGCCTTGAGGTAGTTATCACCTGACAATAAAAGTCCACTATTTTGTTTTGATATCCCCCTGAAGGTCGCCACGTCGTAGGAACGTATCACGTGTGGATAACGTCATACTTTCTCCAACACTAAGTCGACACTCATAATGGACAAAACTTCCAACTCACACATATGGCTTGAGACTTACGCTTATATAACTCATATCATTATCTGTTTTGGGTCCTGTTCTGTTTACGCTCTATACGATTGTGCGTTTAAGGGCACAACATACGTCTGATTTAGGAAAGTCTATCACTTCTACCGACGTCAATCACCACTGCTATATGCAGATGACTCTCCTAGTCTTCCTACCTCGGGATACTAGTGAAGCCCTCTCGGATTTACAACAATGTACAGATAACATCAAATTTGGGATGACATATCATAAGTTACAGCTGAATGGCAACAAGACTAAAGCTCTTCTCAGTGGAACACAGTCTAAACGTTTGACTGATGGAGTGACGACAGTGCGTATTGGCCAGTCTGAAATGCCAATGTCCAAAATGTGAGAAATCTGAGCATTATTCTGGAAAGCAATCTCTCTATTGATTGCCACGTTTTTAACTAGTGCAGAACATTCTACTTTCACTTACGCAACATAGATAGATAGATAGTCTTTATTTCCTCCACAATTGAAGATTACAAGGGTACAGTTTAGTTATGGTTATGACACGTTTAATGTACAGGTGTTAGACAAGATATTACACAAATAGATGTTTGCATTTATAAATAAAATCAGCAGCCAGGAACATTATTTTGCACCAGATATCAAAATCAATGTCAGCAGCACATTCTGGAAGACCACCAAGTAGAAATGTAATCATAATGTCATCATCGTTTGCCCACAAGTTGACAAAGCAATCTACATCGAGGATGTCAATGACACTTTCATACAGTTCATTTCTTTCTTTCATATTCATACGGCAAGATATGAACACATGCTTAATGATATCATGAGCAACTGTACCACAACAGCATTCTTTTGATTGAAGTCTTCTTGATGCAAGTGAGACAATACGCGACAGCTGTTTAAATTTACATGGATAAAGTTGACATAACAGCCACAGTTTATTATGTTCAACAGATCTGATAGAGACATATCTTGATAGGTCCATTCGTCTCATCATACGGCTGGTAAGGAGGGACATATCCACGCAGTGCACTTTCTCCAACACAGTACCAGTCCACTTGGATTTATTGAGTACATTGCCATTAACAACATATTCAGCAAAGTCATTGAAAAGATTGTACTTTTCAACCAGTCTAAACATATTAAAGCATGGTGAATAAAAACATCTTTTTGCGCTCATAGACTCACATTTGAATTGCGCGAGTCTGCCAATAAACACATGTTTAAAATAGTAGCAGCAACTTACTCTACAAAGTTTACCCATAAAAACCAGGGATTGAGAGTCAATATGGGATTGTATACTGATAAGCTTTAAGCTGTCCAACACAACTTCATTTGGGGTTTGCTTGGGTAGAGCTTGAACTTTTTTGCTGAAATATCTTTGGGGTATTTCCAGCATTTCATATTCTTTTGGTGATAATTGACCCCAGGTATTACAACCATATAGTGTAGAGGGTAATATTACGCGTCGAAATACTCGTACAGCAGCGAGCGGATTTAAGCCTCCAAAGTAAAGGCCGTGATTATGGTTTACATTGATGAGTTTTTTCAACTTCTCACAAGCACGTTGGGTCCGCTCCATGGATTTACCACCACACGAGAACAGCACTCCCGCATAGATAACTGATGTTTTGTGAGGTAGTTCAATTTCACCACACAATACTTTAGGACACACAATATCACCTTGCGAACGAGAGAACACTAATATGGAGCTCTTACTCACATTGTAGACTAGTCTCCATTTACAAGCGTATTGATGAGCAATGTCTAACAGCTTTTGAAGTGCAAGCGGGGAGCTACTTGTAATAGTGGTGTCGTCTGCTAAAAGTTGACCTGGATAATGACCCCATGGTAGATTAAGACCATACCAGAGCTATCCAATTGACAAATGAGGTCATTTATATATACAGTAAATAGCCAGGCTGAGAGAACACGTCCCTGGCCCACTCCTTGCTTGACTGTAAAGCTATCCGATTCACAGCCGGAAAATGTTACATATGATTCCATTCATGAGTAGGCATTGCGTAGTAGTCGCCATGTCTTACCGGTTATACCCATATCGTAAAGTTTACAGAAGAGGCCATCAAGCCAAACTCTATCAAACGCCTTAGCATTATCCAGAAAGGCACAATACACAGGTGAATGTCGTTCATTGTAATATGCAATGTTCTCACTAAGACTGAGACAAGCTGCCTCTGCTCCAGCATTTCTGCGGAATCCAAACTGCAGATGGTGTGGGAATTCGTTTTTATCACTCAGCCAGTTTTCAATTCTGCACAGCAATAGTCGCTCGAGCAATTAACTCAGCACAGACGTTAACGTGATTCCCCTATAATGGTTAACATCTGATTTGCTTTTGCCATGGCCCTTATGAATTGGAAGGATTTTACCAAGGTAATATGAGGTTGGTATGCATTCATATTTTACAATTGCATTAAATAGGATTGTAATATGTTTAAACAGTGAACATCCTGCCCGTTTAACATGTTCATTTGTAAGACAGTCTGGTCCTGGCGATTTGCCTGGTTTAAATGCTCTTACAACAGACCAGACCTCGTCTGACGTGAATGGCTTTTTAAGAGCTGACTTTTCCGTATCTGTCGTTATTCCACTGTAGGACTTTTCAAT